CTGAGGGTTGCGATCCATTGCCAGTCACAAAAAAAGACAAAAAAAAAAAAAAAACATTGAGAAACAAATCTCCTCTACTTTAGTTTACTGGACTTTATGCAACTTCATGCAGGTAAAGATTCCTCCAGCTCCAAACGCCAGTGTATTGCCTGTTTCTTTTCTTTCCTCCCCTCAGTCTCATCACAATGAAAATGACGTATTTCGGTCACTCTTCATTCCTGTTGCCTTACCAAGCATGATAACCACAGACCCAACAGAAAACATGAGATTCCAGCCCCCAGAGAGCAAGGCTGTCCACCTCACCTGCATGAGGTGCAGACCAGAGGGAGATAACCTGCTGCCCAGGGAGCTTTCCTCGCAGCTCTGCACAGAAGAGGCGTAAAGATCATGCTGCATAAACATTTTGTGTGCACAGAGAACATCATGGGTTAGACAGAGAAGACTCCAAAAGCAAAATCTGAAAAATCCAAATTATAGAATTCCTGACATGCATCTAGAGTGGGAAGAGACATACCAGACGTCAACTCAAGCTCTCCATCTTAGAGATGACGGAAGTGCTCCACCATGCTCTTGCCATGACACTACCCTTTCTCCTGCCTCAGCCACATCTGCCTCCAGCCACACACACCAGAGACAACATCGACACAGTCCAATTAAGCATGGAAATGGAAGACCATGATTCTCCTTCAACTAGAGTCTTAAATACATACTGACCATACAAGAAGAGATACTTCAAGGTCCACCTATATATTTAAGGAAGGAGACAAATAAATCACAAGTTTATTTTATTTTTTATTTTTTTTTTTTTTTTTTTGCTAAAAAGATGACCGGTAAGGGGATCTTAACAACTTGGTGTTGTCAGCACCACGCTCACCCAGTGAGCCAACCAGCCATCCCTATATGGGATCCGAACCTGTGGCCTTGGTGTTATCAGCACCGCACTCTCCCAAGTGAGCCACGGGCCGGCCCATAAATCACAACTTTAAATTCAGTTCAAGCCAATGAGCATTTATTGAGCAGCTATGATTGCAAGGGACATTGTTATGTGTTAGGCAACACTGAAAAGTCTGGTCCCTGCCCTTTTGATACATTAGGGAATATAGAAACACAATTGGCCATACTGTAAACTGCACTGTTATTATATAATAAAGGAAATATTAACAAAGTATAACTGAGGCCCAGAGAAAAACACAAGAAATGCTAACTAGAATAACTCGGGTTAGAGTTAGTGGTATGATGCAGGATTTGCAGAAGAGGCAATATTTTCACTGAATCTTACAAGAAAGAGTGCTGCTTCCTCAGTTAGAGATGGGAAGAGAAAGGCATTCCAGAGAGAGGGATTCACTTGACCACATGTTCAAATCAGACGGCATGACATGTTTGGAGAATGGCAAATAGATGGACTCAAATCACACGGGGGAAGAAATGACGCTAGCAAAGCAGACCCAGGCATAGTGGCCGTGAAGAGTACCGAATGCTGCGCTAAGATGTGGGCATCACCCTTCAAAGGCGAATATCTGAAGGAATCTCAGTGGAGAAGTGACACTCATTTCTAGGTTTAGAAGGTAATTCTGCCACCAGTCGGAGAATGGATTGGAGATGGGAGATGCTAGATGCACAGAAGCAGCTGAGGAAATGTTTCCACAAGGCAGTCATCACAGGGAAAAACGTCTGTCATAGTATACTTTCCTCAGAGCCACTTCCAAGCCCAGGGACACGCTTCACATAAGCAGGTATGCATTTCTCAAGCACACAAGGAAAAAGGGCCATTTTGCCATTTCTTGGATTCCCTCCTTTGCCTAGGTGGGAGTCAGAGATTGGAGAGGTCAGCTAGTTGTGTGGCCGTGTGGCAGTGCAGGTGAGAAGTCCACTCCTAACCACACACTCTGTGTGTGCTGGAAAAGCCCACAAGAAGGCAGTGAGGATTCACAGAAAACACGCAAGACAGTGCTCTCCAGCTCTCCCCCTGCATTCAGCATGCCCCTCACTCTGCTCCCGGCGCTGTGCCGTGAACTGGAGCACATGCCGGCAGGAGGGCGTGAGTAAGGAAGCCACTGAAATCACCCAGACGGGAGATGTGGCTTGCCCAGTCAACAATCCTACAAGCAACTGTGCTGAACACAAAATTAGATGTGCTGTCCTTGTCAACCAATAAACCACAGGGCTCTGAGTCACACCGGTGATCTCATCTGACAGACTGGTCATCTCTCAACTGGGGAGAAAACTCCAGTCAGGAACAAATAGGATGGCCTCTACTTGGGTTTACTTGTACATCATAGCCTTTAAAAACTTTACTTTGATGTATGTTTTATAAAATAATACAACAGATATGAACTATACCTTTATATACAATTTAAAAATCATTTAACATGCATATGTTGAGATGCATGCTCCCAAAAAAATTTTTGGTAGGGGTATGTGATCAAAAATTTTGGAGATCATTGTCATAAACCATAGTCTCTTCCACACACTAAAGATCAGAACTTCTGTTCAACACACAAAAGAAGGCATTTATTATAAACCTGAAAGTGAAAAAAATTGAGGGTATGACAAAAAGGGAACATCATTTTATATTTTTTAAATTTAAAATCTTCCTTCATCTTAGATCTTGCATATCTTTCTTGAACTTAAATGCGTTAACAAAAGCTGTTTAGGAAATAAATAACTGCCTAAACCAAGAACTGTGCTTAAAAAGTTAAACTCAATCCTATACATACACATTTTTAAATAATTTATGCTCTCAAGGAGGCATTTTTTTAAAAAGATTTAAATATCTTAACTCAACCAACCAACCTATAGTTTGAACTTTTTACCAAGGCAGAAATATCAGATCCTTACATCATTAAAAATGGTGTGTATTAAATTCAAATTGCACAGGCCATAGTTTATTGTCATCTGGAGGTTTTGAGTAAAACTTCCATACTACATATGAGTATCTTTGCATTGCATACATATATTTACCAGTATATAGATAGGAAAGGACTATATCTCTAAAAAAATTTTGCTTTTCATTTCTGTGGACTGAGGACTCCAGAGCTTTTCCCATTCCAAGCTGATTTTAATTTTCAACTTTTTGTAGACTTTAATCAAAGTTCTCATATTTCAGATAATATGGATTAAATTTTCATTTGACCACCAATAATTGTAATGAAGAAATAAGGGTTAATTTCATTATAAGTTTTAATGTTGAAAACCCGAGTTAGTATATAGTAAATAATAATTCTTCACAGTCACATGTTTAGCAAAGATTTATTAACTCCCTACTGTATGCCATGCACTGTGCTTTAGATGCTTTAGATACTGTGCTAGCAGGAGTAAAGAGACACAAGGATGTAAAGTCAGTCCCCTCCCCACAGAGCAGAAGGGACTCTGTCTTATTCATGGCTATACCCCAACACTTGGAACAGTGCCTGGCACCTGGCAGGACACAATAAATATTTATTTACTGCCTCCCCCAAGGACCTTACAACCTAGTGGGGATGCGAAGTGAGACTGGGGGGGGGGGGGAACTCATAATACTTGCAAATAATCACAATATTGCTATATTCTTATTCATCTACAAAAATAGCTGACAACAATTTCCATCTCCCTTCTCTCTCTGCATAATGAAAACCTTATGTAGCTCAGAGAAAGAGTTTAGACTCACTGCATGGTCTATTTCTAGTTTTAATTACAATGCTTGGCAAAGCTTGGGAAAAGATCATTTCAATTCATTTCAAAAATAACTCTCATTCAGTACATGAAGATGGAATTTTTCACACTTGTGAATTTTTTATTTACTTGATAATGAAGGTGGTTTGGCATATAAATACAGCATCTTCTTCGCAACTTTGGTCTAATGAAGAGGCAGAGCTGCCTATCTATTAATAAAAATGAAATGGCTTTCCCCCTAAAGTAGAAACCTACACTCACCTTCCAAACAGACTCGGTTTCATTTCTAACTTGTTTGAATCTAGAGAAAATGCGGTTCAAATCACACTAGGGGTCTAAAGCTTGGTGAAGCCTCTCATAGAACTTACTGATCCATACAGCTCCCCCCTCTCATTCATCCCGAGGTAGAGTCCACTGTCCACGCCGCGAATGCTGACCAGGCCCACCGCTATGCTGATAAATTCCAGAATGCCTGTGAGACAAACAAGAAGGCAGAGGGCAGGTTAGAGCACAGAGTCCTCAGCAGTCAAAATCCCTGCGGGTTGTGCAAAGGACACTGAGTCCAGCTCCTAACTTTGTAAACCTTATCCTAGTGTCTTCTTTTCTAAAGCCGCTGCCTAAAGGAATAGATTTTCTAACTAAATACTATCTTATCAAAATGATATAAAAAAATACTTCTCAACATGACTTACATAATAAAACATTATAAAAAATAAAAAGCTAGTATCTACATAGATATGCTAAGAAGTACTAGGACAGGTGAACCAATGTAAACATTCTAATAAACCTAAAAGAGTATAATTCAAGAGAAAAACAACCTACTTCCACTTTGTAAATGTGAAATTAAGTATTTGTGTATGAATATTTTGATCTTGAACTTCCCATCCTCCAGAACTGTGAGAAATAAATGTGTGTTTTTTAAGCCAAAAAACAAAATGTATTTGTGTATGGGCATAGGTCATAAAAAATTCTATTTAGAGAATTGGTCTTCCGTCTCTCTTGAGGTGCTAACTAAAGCCTTGACTGGTCCATACAGAAAATCATCCAGCTGTCTATTGTATACCTTTACTGAGCTCCATTTAGAAAACTAAAATAGTCTGCACACATCCCTCAAAGAGATAATTAAGCAATTAAGATAACAATATTCTGGAAGGAAAAATGCTGTTTTCCAATAACACTCTGGATTTAAAGTAGGCATGGAATACTATATTCCAAAATCAAATCAATGTAATAATCTTTTTTTTTTTTCCTTCTTTCGCCTTGCTTACCTCACTAAGAATAACAACACCTAAGCTGGGCATAAATCCAGAATTTTATGGCCACAAAACAGCAGCTTCAATTTCTTTAACTGCATTGTTGTTTTAAGATAATTATCCCATAATATATTTAGGACACTGCTAATATTAGTAGTGCTCAGCCATTTTCTCATTTTTGTTATAAGTTAAAGTGCTACACTTTGTATATACCTTGTATTAAAGCATACCAAATATTAAATTCTTATTATAAAAATATCTGCAAATATTGAAAAATTTACTCACATTTAAGAGTTTAGAAAAAACTAAGGATAACACTGTACTATAGTCAGTCTCGTGTGACTAATAAAAAAGCACTTACATGGATTTTAAAACAATTAATTTTGCAACTCTCACAAAATAGACTGTGTGCTGCAATCAAATGAAGACATGAACTACATAAATCTAACAAAGCAAAAGATTAACTCAAAAGGAAATTCTGTTCCAAGGTGATGCAAAAAAAAAAAAAAAGAGCTATTTCTTCTAATATTCCTAATTATTTTATAAGCACAAAATGTAACAAATTTATCTCATTCTTACAGTTCACAAAATATCTATCTGGACACGCAAACTTGTTTATTTTAATAGAATGTGAAGTAGTATATGGAAAAAATATAAGGAGAAATTACAAATTACTTTTGAATCTGATAATCTATGAATGTCTTGGAAAATCCATCTAAAACAAGCTAGTTTATTACTAGCCTTCCCTACCTCCCAAAACAAACGGGACAATAAATAAGGCAATAGTCCCATGAGATTCATTTCACATGCGATGTACTCCCTTTTTGATGCAATTATTTTATTTCCTTGTAGTATTTCTAATTCTCATGATTCTAAATAATCAAAATTGTGGCATTTTATTACTATTAGGAGCCACATACATGTGAATCTCTTCCTAGCTACCTGAAAGTGCACCACAATGTAGTTCCTACTTATCTTGAAATTAGTGTTAGGAGTTAATGTCCAATTTTCGTTATGAAATGAAATACAGAAAACACTTTTCCCCCTTTGAGTTCTCAACAATTTAATTTACCATATCAATGAGGAAAAGTTTAATCATAAAACTAAAAGGTACTCATACCTTATAAAAGGGCCCGTGACGCTCCTTCTGTTTTCTTTAAACATGAGGCAGCTCTGAGAACTAATAATGAACATTAGCCAACATTGCCCATCACGTCCAACAACGAACATGGTATGCGTGATTTCACAAAGCCATTGACTGGCTGGTCGACAGAAGATCAAGAATAATAACAGCAACAACAGTGCCCGTCATAACAACTAGAATATTGACCATTTAGTCTGTGCCAAATGAGAAGTCTTCCCTATTTCAAGCCTCAGAACCACCCTGGGCACCACAAGGTTTTAAGCCCCAATGTATAAATGGGAAAATTGAGGTTTCAGGAGGTTAAATAAAGCACCCAGATTCCAAAGCCTATTTCCTTAACTCTTAGGCACATCTTACGTTTGGTTTTATCTTTTTTCATGTATCTGTGATTTCTATACCATTTTCATTTAGTTAAGTTCATTAATTATTATTATTATCATTATTATTACACAGTTTGGAAATGAACATACTAAGATATATATCTTGTTTATTTTTCTGGCATTGACAGGACAGCTGTAATTCATATGCGTTCACTTACTTATTCATTCAAGAAACTGTTGAGAGACTATTCTAAGCCAAGTACCACACCATTTATTGAGTATATAAAGATAAATAAGATATAGCCTGGGCCCTATACCCTCAAATAGCTTACCATCTAATGGGAGGAAGGACAAACAAACAGATAAACATAGTAACAACGTGGTGAACGCAATGAGAGGAGATGCTCAGGGTATAGGCAGCCCGAAGATGGGCAGCACATTCAGCTTTGGGGAGGTGAGTCAGAGGAGGCGTCCTGAAAAGAGTAACACCTGACATAAATCTTCAAGGAGCTATCCAAGTGAGCGGGAGCTACCTAGTGCCCCAGGTGTGAAAGAGTTCATCACCTCAAACCACCATCCCTATCTCTGCAGCTCCTTGAAAAGAGACCTCAAAAGAACAGCCCAGCTTCTTATGAGGTCACCTCAGTGATCCAAGGGCAAGTGCAACACCCAAAATTATGAGTCACAGTCATTCCCCCACACGCAGGGAGAGCCAGTGCTGTAAGGTCAGGAAGACCTGGCAACCTAGCAACAGGATCCCACCCCAACCAGACTAGAATCCTTATCATTCCTTGTACCACCTTGTCCAAAATGAATTCTCTAACCTCAACCAGGTCAACTAACCCTCTCTGGGCCAGAGCTGGTGCAGGCAGTGCTGCCAACTGCACCCTCTGTGTGCAGCCCATCCCGCCGCACCTGCTCACACAAGTGGGCAGCACAGAGGGTGCTGGATCAGTAACAGCCAGGAGAAGGCTGCTCTGTAGAGACTTGAATGTGTAATGATCAGGGGAGAGGAAGGAAAAGGAGGAAAGAGCAAAGAAGAGAAGAAGGAAAAAGGAAAGGGAGGGAGGGAATGACAGGATTATGCCTAAAGTTGAAACTGTGGCCCTCACGTGTGCACCTTGGTGGCCTGTCTCTCCTCTTAGGCAGACACAACTAAACATCCTCAGTTCAGAAGGGCCACAGTGACAGTCAGTGACAGAGTGACAGTGAAGCACAGGTCAGTATCTACTGTCGTTTCTCTATTCTCGTCCACAGCAGTCAGCAGTTCTGAATCAGGACATGCTCACTGGATGCTCTGGAGTCTGATGAGGTACCAGATCATACCTGGTCCGGCTCAGTGCCTGGACTACTTCAGGAAAATGACCACACCAGACGTTCCTCCTTGCCCCAGACTCACTGGCTATTAGTGATCAGCCCCAGAAGTGAACAGAGCCCTGGCTCTGTTCGAAGGGGCCATTAACCCAAAGCTGGCCCAGTCCACTAGAGCCGATCATGTGGGCCTCACCTCCAAGGCTGTGTGTGTCAAGGCCAGCGATGGGGCTGGGAGGGCCGGCCGAAGCGGCTCCACTCTGGCTCACATCAAACAAACCTCTAACTTAAAAGCCCCAACAGGTAACAGAGCTGCACTCTTCAGAGGACACAAATATGTGCAGACTGTGAAGAGAGGCATGAAACGAGGCTATCAATTAAGCCCCTTCCCCTACAGAGCTCCCTGCTCACCGGGAGGAGCTCACACCAGGGCACCCAGAACATTCATCTCAAAGCCTGTATTGGGTAAGTCTGCAACAACGAAAGCATATCTCAGAGTTTACTTGAGAAATGACTAACTGAATTATAGCCCCACCAATTTTTCAAGAATCTGAAGCAATCCTAGTCAATCTTTCCCCTACTGAGATACTGAAGAGAGAAACACATAGACCAGAATTCTTTAAAGTGTAAAACCATAGAAATAAGGGGTTTTTTTAACCCACCTTTCTTAAAAATCATGCCATCTATCATATTTCTCCTCACTGACCCCCTTTGAACGGGCAGCCCCAGTTTGGGTACTCATCTGGGGTCCTGATAAGTCCCGCCCTTCAGAGCCACCACCCCAGACCGAAAGCTCACCAGCTTAGGCTTCCCACGCAACCTAGCAAATCGGGCCCTACGTTCGCTTTCTCTTTATTCCGCACTACCATTTCCCCAGTTGATTTTCTGCTCACTTTTTTCAATCCATCTAGCAAGACAGGAGTATTTTAAAAGTGAATGTATGCATACGTGAAACGAAACGTCTTGCTCCCCGGCCTATTACCTAGAGACAATTCCCAGTTTCTTTCCTCCTTGCTCAACCTTATCTCCACACCACCATCCCCAAAGGAAAAAACAAAAGGCTCCCTCAAGGTCCCACCCAAGTTGTCACCGCCCCAGCTACTGCAGGAACCTCAGTAAGACTCCCCCACCCCCACGTCCCCTGCACTGCCTCTGCTGTGTCACTGCCGAGCTTGCCAGCAGCTGCAGTCACCTGCGGCTGCATGGGGGTGGCAAAAATCCTTTTTCCAGCACGTTTCCTTCTGCCGTTTCATTTCAGGTAGAAAATGCACCTTCTAGGTGTAAAGTCACCCCACCCCACCCCCGCTACTCTTCTAGAGAGTCTGGAGAGAAACTGAGGGTAAGGACGAAGTCCCCATGGGGGGCCTGGGTGAGGAGGGGAGGCCGCTGCTCGGTGCGGGAGGAGGGCAGAAGGTGAGGCGGCAGCGAGCTGGAGCGCCAGGTGCGACGAGCCTCGGCAGCCCCTCGGCCCCCTCCCGGTACCCGCTCGCTCCCGCCGCGGGGTCCTAGCGCCGTCGCGGCCTCCGTCCGGGCGGGGCGGGGAAGGCGAGGGTAGGAGGCTCCGGGCACACGCACGCTCTGCAGAGGTTGCTAATATTGGGACCTGCCGCAGCGGTAGCAGCGGGAGACCGCGGCACTGCTGTCACCCCGGGGGCCCGCTTCTCACTGCAACCGGATGCAAGACTTAAATAACCCTCCTGCCTCGCGTCCTTCCCCACCCCCACTGCGCACAGCCACCCACTCCACTCCGTCCCCACGAGGGTGAGCGGCGAGGCTCAGGGCCAGGCGCCCCCTCCCCGCGGCCGACCTCGGCCTACCGGCTCGCTCGCGCGCGTCGCCCCAGCTCCTGGGCAGGGACTCCGGCTCCCCTCCCCGCCAACAGTACTCCTCCCCACGGTGCCGAGCGAGTCTAAGGAGTGAAGATGTCACTTCCTTGGCGACACTTGTCTCCAACCTCTAGGATCGTGGAGGGAAGAGGTCTAGCTTTTTGTCTGGGGAGCTCTGCTCGGCCGCTGGACCTGCAGTCCTCGTCCGCTGAGCCCAGCGCGCGCCCGTCCTTGCCTTCCCCGCCCGCGCGGCCCCCACCCTTGCATGCACGCTTCCCGGGTGGCAGGGTGACTGCATTTCTGATGACTCGATTGCAGGTGGCAAACGTCCTATCTTAAAGGTGACTGCCTCAAAAAAAAAAAAAAAAAAAAAAAAGCCCATGGCGGTGGTGGTGCGTAGAACAGCCCAACCGAACATCCACCATCTCCCTACGCCGGGGTCCAGTCCTGCTGCACTCGGGGTGCTAGCGGGGGTCTAGCAAACACAGGGCTCGGCTCGGCTCGGCTCACTCACACAGTGCAGCTGGCC